CTCCTCTCGCTCGCAGCCGCTAGCGTCTCTCTCTCTCTCTTCGCGCGCGCGCTAGCATCTCTCTCTCTCTCCTCGCGCGCGCCGCTAGCTCTTACTCTCTCTCGTCTCTTCTCGCGCGCCCTAGCTCTCTCTTCTCTCTCTCCGCCGCGCGCCGCGCTAGCTCTCTCTCTCTTCTCGCGCGCGCGCGCGCGCTAGCTTCCTTCTCTCTCTCTCTCTCTCTGCTTAACGCGCGCGCCTAAGCTCTCTCTCTCTCGCGCGCGCGCCGCTAGCTCTCTCTCTCTCTCTACTCTCTCGCGCGCGCGCGCTAGCTCTCTCTCTCTCTCTCTCTCTCTCTCTCGCGCTGCCTGCCGCCGCGCGCGCGCTAGCCTCTCTCTCTCCGCGCGCGCGCGCTAGCTCTCTCTCTCTCGCCGCGCGCGCTAGCTCTCTCTCTCTCTCGCGCGCGCTAGCTCTCTCTCTCTCGCGCGCGCGCGCTAGCTCTCTCTCTCTCTCTCGCTGCGCGCTAGCTCTCTCTCCTCTCTCTTCGCGCCCGCGCTAGCTCTCTCTCTCTCGCGCCGCTAGCTCTCTCTCTCGCTCGCTCGCGCAACTCTCTCTCTCTCGCGCGCCGCTAGCTCTCTCTCTCTCTCGCGCGCCCTAAGCTCTCTCTCTCTCTCTTAATCCCGCGCGCGCTAGCTCTCTCTTCTTCTCGCCGCGCGCTAGCTCTTCTCTTCTCTTTCCGCGCGCTAGCTCTCTCTCTCTCTCGCAGCCGCTAGCTCTCTCTCTCTCTCGCCGCGCTAAGCTCTCTCTCTCTCGCGCCGCGCTAGCCTCTCACTCTCGCGCCGCTAGCTCTCTTTCTCGCGCGCGCTAGCCTCTCTCTCTCGCTGGCGCGCGCTAGCTCTCTTTCTCTCGCGCGCTAGCTCTCTCGCGCGCGCTAACTCTCTCTCTCTCCTCTCTCGGCGGCGCGCTTAGCTCTCTCTCTTCTCGCTTTGCCGCGCTCTAGCTCTCTCTCTCTCTGTCTCGCGCGCGCTACTCTTCTCTCTCTCTCTCTCAGCGCGCCCTAGCTCTCTCTCCTCTCGCGCGCGCGCGCTAGCTCTCTCTCTCTCGCGCGCGCGCGCTAGCTCTCTCTCTCTCGCTCGCGCCCGCTAGCTCTCTCTCTCTCTCTCTGCGGCGCCTAGCTTCTCTCTCTCTCGCGCGCGCCTAGCTCTCCTCTCTCCTCTCGCGCGCGCGCTAGCTCTCCTCCTCTCTCTCGCGCGCGCGCGCTAGCTTCCTCTCTCTCTCTCTCTCTCTCTTCCGCGCGCCGCGCTAGGCTCTCTCGTCTCTCTCTCTCGCGCGCGCCTAGCTCTCTCTCTCTCTCTCTTCGCGCGCGCGCGCCGCGCTAGCTCTCTCTCCTTCTTCGCCGCGCAGCGCGCGCTAGCTCTCTCTCTCTCTCTTCTCTAATCGCGCGCGCGCGCCGCTAGCTCTCTCTTCTCTTCTCGCGGGCGCGCGCGCTAAGCTTCTCTCTCCTCTCTCTCTCTCTCTCCTCTTCTTCCGGCGCGCGCGCGCCGCTAAAGCTCTCTCTCCTCTCGCGCCGCCCCGCGCGGCCGGGGGGGGGCTAAAGCCTCTCCTTTATTCTTTTTTTTTCCTTTTTCGGCCCCGGCCCCCCGGGGCCCCCCGGGGGTGGCCCGGGGGCGCCCCCCGCTTAAGCGGGGCTTTCTTTTCTCTTCTCTTCTCTTTCGCGCGCGGCCCGCTAGCTCTCTCTTGTGTAATCCTCTCTCTGCGCTAGCTCTCTCTCTCTCTCTCTCTCGCGCGCGCGCTAGCTCTCTCTCTCTCTCTCTCTCTCTCTCTCGCGCGCGCGCGCTAGCTCTCTCTCTCTCTCTCTCTCTCTCTCTCTCTCTCGCGCGCGCGCTAGCTCTCTCTTGGTGTATAATATTTTCAAGGGAGAGGAAGTTATAAATAGAGGGATTTTTAAATAAATAGGGCTAATAAATTAGTGAGCTGATGATCATGTCAAGAATATTATCTTCATTTTTTAGCAAAGCTGAACAGTACTTAAAAAGAGAACTATTTCAAGAATGATAGAATAAAAAACAGCAAAAGGAACCAAGAAAAGACATTGTTTCATGTCTGTGTGAAAAGGTGAATTAACAATATTCTCTGTAAAGTGAAGTAACACTAATTAACTGTATCACATACATTTATTCGTATCTATATTCCATACATTTAATACTATATTGAAACTGTTGACACTTTTTAATTTGAATTTATTCATCACTGAAGGTCATGTGTATGTATATGGCACATAGGAAGATGTGAAAGGATACTTCTATTTATTGCTCTGAGAGAGTAATGGTAATCATCTCTCACTGATTTGCACGTGCTTGAGAGGTAACACTCTAGTCGATGCTATAGCAAGTCAGCAAGTAGACATTTCTATTGTATTTTATTTCTCAGAATCAGTCTGATGTCCCACTTTGTAACTTACCAGACTTATGTAGAACTTTTCAGAGGTTTCGATGGTATTTTTTTTTAACTTTTAGACTGATGAGTTTCGTGAGAGAGAGAAAAGAAATAAAAAAAAAAGAAGAAAGTAGGTCAAAAAATTATTTTAAAAAAATTAAATGACTACAAAATTTACATCAAATAAAATATCTTTTGTTCTTCATTGTCACATAATATTAAATTACTGTTACAATACTATATAAAAATAATCAACATATGCGATGCGAGCATCTTTTTGAAAATTTATATAATTTCCAACAATAATGTTTTGAAAAAAATTAAAATCATATGTTTTGTATTTTTGCTTCTCTTCATAGCAAAATAGTTTTAAAATATGCGACATCAAGGGCAAATTTTTCTTCAATTTGTGCGATTTGATGTGAAATGGCCCCATTGTTGCTATGAGCAGTGAATGGTTGGTAGCAATTTTCACACTCAATTGCCCTGAACCCGATGGCAAAATTGAAATTAATTGAAATGCATTTAGTAGCAAATTTAATAGGCCTTCAGAAAGGTTGGATTCACTTTGGCCACTTTATTGACTTTTTTTGAGATATTCATGAAAACCGAGAGTGTAGAGTGTTAAATATTGTTCTAACGGGTAGGAAAACACCTAAATTTTGCTCTAAGGGTAAATTTTCCAAAATTTATTTTGGGCAGTAACTTTTTTCATGTTCAAAATTTCATTTTTTAAGACTAGATTTGAATGAACTTGTGCACATCTTTGTGAGGAGAGTGAAAAAAACAAATAGCACACAATCTTCCAGCGAAAACCACATGAAAATTGGTACAGAAGTCCCAGAGTTCAACACAAACAAAAATCATGATCACAATTTAATTATTTTTTTATGTTATCTAAATAAGTGTGAGGTGAGAAGGTAGTTATTTCAAATCATAGTCACTCAAATTTTATTTATACAGATTATAGCCCTGAAGTTCAAGAATTTATTTTGGCAAAAATAGGCAGACAAAAAAGACATTTAATTGTTCTAAAATATGCTTGCTAATATACATTTATTCTGACTAAAATAGAGGTGCAAATAAGCATTGAAAAATATGTGTATCAAAAAAGTTGGTATTTTTAATTTTTTGCAAATTTTCCTTTGAAAAATATACACAGACACTAACATGAAAGCAAACTTGATCTACTTGTAATCTTCATCGTGCCTTACCCTCAAACACTTTTTAATGTTTTGACAGCTCTATCTAACTGAAAGAATATTTTTTAGATTTACAACTGAAAAATTCTTTTTGGCACACTAAATTTTGCTACATTACTAGTAATGCCTACTGGATTTATTTCCCTTCTGATGCGCTCTCTAAGAAATGGGTGAACTGAGCCATTCTCTTTTTAATCATTAAATTTCAGCGATGAAAACATTGCTATTGTTTTCATTCTTTGAATATGTGCAATTGCCAGCACCGAGCCAAGTGATGTCATATATCATGTACAGATAAAAGGTGTTTGAAACTCAAGAATGTAATGAGATTTGTCATGTCCAAAATAATGTTGTCATGTCCAAAGATTTGTCATGTCTGTTGGTATCAATGAAAGAAAAAAATCTTTACTGGTATTATTTTACTTCTTTGTAGTGATATTTAACACTTCCTAGCTCTGGAGTGATATTTAACACTCCCTACCCAGTGGATATTTTGCCTGTGCTGAAAGAAAGAGATAAATGCAACAGTGCCCACATGTGTAGAATTGCAGATAAGTTTCCGCTTGATGAAGACTCATGGTAGAAGAAAAAAGAAGAATAGTGATGGAAAATAAAGTGAACAGTCAAAATAAGGAAAAATGCTAAAAATAGGCATTAGAAGCTAAAATAGGTGAACATAGACAAAATGAAAATCTAAATCACCTCCCGAAGCACAGATAGGCAATTTCTATTTGTTTGTCTTAAAAAACAGTAATATTATTTAAAAGGCATTTTTTCAGACTTCCAGGTTCTAATATAGTAGACACATTGAATATGCTTAAAATTGTAATCCTTATGAAACTGGAAAAAAATTGATAAACATTTGTATCTTCTTTTTTTTCTTTTTCTTTTTTCAGTTGGCAGTCAACCCCATCATATTCAAGTGATCCTGCCTCACAACCAATGATGCGCATGTGCAGCTTAGTAGAGAAGATCGCTAATTACATAAATAACCATATTTTAAGTCAGAAAGGTAAACAAGAAACCGTGCACTAAAGAAGGGCAACCGCTTTGTGGGAAGGCAGGTTTCTTGTTAGATGTTGGGAGGAAAGAGGATGATCTGCAGCTTCTAAGAGGCGGATAAGTCACCCTTGTTCCCTTCCTTGGAGGTTTTTCCTGGTTTCTCCCTTGGTTTGTTATTTGTAAGTCTACAGAGCATCCTTCTTATTGTAGCATCTTGAGCACAGTCATAAATTTAATCTGCAGAAATTTAAACAATTAGTTGCTTCTAGCAATTATTTTCTTGGTCCTTTATTTAGACTCGCTCGTGAATGTATGCTATTAATTTTTTTGTGATTCTCTTGGTTATTTATTGGCAATAGTGTGAGGTTACCAGAGCTCGTTATCGAGTATCTGAACGCAGTTATGCATGTATTGCAAAAGGTAGTATGCCTTTGCTCCTGATATTGATCATATGTTTCTAACGACCACATGAGGCCTTAGTGTTCAGTAGTGTATTGTATCATGGCCTCTTAGTGAAGAGCAAGTACGTAGGAACTTGACAGATTCACAGCATGTCTGAAGGTACATAATCTGAGGAAGTAGCCATCATATTTCCTTTTGAACCAGCTATTTTTTTATTGGTTGTTTCATTTTTTAGGCTTTTATATATACTCATGAGTATCACTGACTGATGTTTGAAACATCATGTTTGCCTCAAACATAGACACTTGTAGTTTATGTCAAACCCATATGCTCCTCTGTAGCAGTAGAGCATTAGTGCCAGAAATCATTTCTTTGTGTCTGTGAGGCAAAGCATAGTATCACTCAAGACTGAGTGTACTGGTGCTGGATGATGGTCTTTCTGATTGTATGCACACACTTTCTTCCACATGTGCAAATTCTAATTGCCATGTGAATGACTAAATTTAAGAAACCTATAGCAAGAAAGGATGCGCAGATATGGTTTATATGACTTATCTTATCATCTCATCATAATCACTTGTGAAATTGAAGAGTTTTCACCATCATAATACAAGCAATAATGTCATTTGCATAGAATGTTATTTTCATGCATGTCAAGTTCAGTGTATGCTTTCTGTAAGCACCCACACAATAATTTGCTATTTCATCTGGAGTTAAGCATCCTTTCACTTGGTATTTATTTATCTGTGTCAATATTCTGGACCTGTCTAAAGGCATAGAAGCAACACTAAAAGTATATAACAAAACTTGTTATATCATTAAAAATCCTAGTTCATAGATTGTCATATGTACTATGTAGTCCAAAATGACTGTTCCAAGAAAAAAAATTATCAGCATCTAAGTTGTGTGTTGTTTTGTTGTTGTTGTTTTTTTTCTTCTTCTTCTTCTTTTGTTTGAGTGGAAGGATGAGTGAGAATGATTGTGATGATATTGTTGGGTTATCTGGTATAGCATGATTCTTTATAATATGAAAATGAACTAGTTCTGCTTGAATGTTGTTGTTGTTGTTGTTATTATTTAGATTGTGGGTTGTGTTTGTCTTTTGATTGTATGTTTCAGTGTATGGTTCTGTGGGTTTTTAAGACTAAATTTAAAATGATGTTAATAAGTCTTGGTATTGGTATTCAAAATTATGAAACTTGTTGAATTTCTTCAGCAGTTTAATTGAACATTTTTTTGGGGAATAGGAATAAAAATATAATTTGGGTGCTTGCTGTTGAATGCAGCAATTTTAAAATATATAAAAGTTAAATTTGAAACAGAAAGCTGAAATTAAGTGAAATGTTTTTAGGGTCGTAATGGCACACTTACTATGATTTCATTCTGTTCATTCTCATGTTTAAAGAAAAGCACCATGACAATTTCATATTTGTTGATTGTTGAGGGATTTGTTGGTGTTGAAGAATACGAATTAGGATGATTATAAAAAGAAATTGTCACTGTGCTGTTGTGAGAGAACATTTAAGGATTGTTTGTATACTCATTTTGTGTTTGCAGCTGTCTGAAAGATGTCTGCATTGTTAAAGTCATGAATGTGAACTTTCAAGGGCATGCAGTCTAATGATACAGAGATGAATTTTGTCATTATGTTTGTGACTGATTTTGAAAGAAAAAAATAAATGCAACACTGCCTTTCCTCAAAGCAAGACCCATTCTGCTTGTTGGTTGCTTCAGTTCTTGGCAGACTTATTCCATGGCTAAATGAAGTTTGTAGACCATGAAGGATGAGCTGCTCACTAAAAGTTGAGTCTGTGACCGTATAAAATTGTTTCCTGGTCACAATTTAGAGTACATTTTATATTGAAATTCCTCAAAAGAAATAAAAGAATATGCACAGATATGGTTGTGCATATTCATATGTGGCAGTTCTGTAGTTTTAATGCATGTCAATTCCTAACCTTTATTAAGCATTCACAAATAGTTGTCAGCATTTTTTAACGGAAGGAATTTTGATACCTATCTTGTATAGATAACCTACTCTAGAGAGATTAAGAATATTGCAATATGTGATTAAAAGAGTATTCACAGAGTTCATACTCGAGAAAAGAACTCATTTATTTAAGGTCGCATCAACTTCTAAATCATTAGCGACCACTATTGTGTGTAAGGGTATGGTGACTATGAAGATGACACGATATGAGGATGATAGGGGTGTGAAAGGACGAACACAATACAACCATGACTGAGGCAGGAATTGAACCTGGGATCCTTTGTTCCGAGACCACTATGGCACTACTGCCTTAGTGATCTCTGCCATCCGGACCGGCAAAAGAACATTTTGTGGGCAATATGTTAGTATTGTTAATGTTGTGGAACTGCAGTTGTTGATTTTTAGAGCACAGCTTTGGTTGCAGCATGTAGTTCCCAAAGAATTTGAAATGAAACAGAAAGTTTTTGTCTTCTAGAAACTTTCAAAATAAAACTAATGTTCATTTGTTAATATGTTCTGTTGGTGGTGAGCTTAATTTTTTCTTTTTCTTTCTTTCTCTTTTTTTTTTATTTATTTTTTTTTATTTTATTTTATTTTTTTATTTATTTATTTATTTATTTATTTTTTTTGAAAGTGACAAGACACCCTAAATATCTTAATTTTTTAACTGGTACTTTTCAATTGTATAGCTACCAACATCTGAACTTGTAAACTCGGGGCAGAAAACCAATTCCACAACAAATTTGTTTTCTGTTTGGAGACTGCAAACTCTGATGATGATCACTACATGACTGAAAAGTAATAAAGAAATAATAATTGAAAGAATATATAAGATATCTATATAAGATTTAAAAGGATAAGATGCCTAGACAACATTTGTCTTCTTAGTGTTCAAATTTTAGTGAGTAGTAGTACCCAAAATAAGTACAAAGGCAGATATTTTTACAAAGAGTTAGAAATTTAGTGACTTTTTACTCAATGTAGTGGAGAAACATTGAGTAACAAAATTAAAAATTCTACTTGAGTTAAGGAGTATTAAGTAAATTTTCAAACAGAGCAATATTATTATTCAAGAGTATCAATTTCAGTGCAACTGAGGCTCCTGTACCAGTTTTCAACTGATAATAGAAGTAACTTCTTTGAATGGACGTGCCTGCTCGCATCCAGTTAGCTTTGTGTTCTCGATTAAATTCTGAGAGAGGCTGAAGTGGCAGGAATACCTTAGGTGTACTCAGCAGTAATATCTGGAATTATAATGCTACTTTCTTGCGGACACCTCAAGTGAGGTGTGTGCTTTCACACAAATTTGTAGTGTATATACTTCCATTTGCTTGCAATACCTAAATTATTTTCTACTGAACTGCGGAATCATGAAGAGGAGCAGTGTGTTTAGATGTGGATGTGGATTTGGATTTGGTTTGTTCCCACATAAAAGTCAAAATACTTGGCTGTTGTTGAAAAGGTGAAGTAAGATTTACTCCGTATGGTCCTACCAACATTATTGGCAAAGTATTGTTCTATTTTTGTATTATTCTTTTTTTTCTTCTCTCTCTAAAATAATTTCTGTTTAGAGAACCGAAGGAAAATGGGTTGTGGTTTATTTTTAAAGCCCAATGGTTTGTGTAACACCATTTAAACACAATTAAATGACGGCACCTCCAAATTTTGTGATTTTTATTTGTGTGTGTATGTATTGATGTATATGTATTTATGTACATATATATGTAAGTACATACATATACATAAATACATACATATATGCATACATAGAAATATGAAATTTGTAATAAAATCCATTGTGATCTGTATAACCACTAAGAAAGGATTCTTCAAAATTCTTCCTCTAAGGGGGGGGGAGGGGTTGGTGGAGGGGAACAAGTTTTGACCATCTTCAATGCATTGAGGTATGAGGAGCAGTTTGGAGCATGGTGGAGATTAAATAAAATTGCTTCCATTTACTTTGTTGATAACATTGAATTCTTTTACTGTCTAATAGGTGGCTGGTCTTATAGAATCCAAAAATATAAAATGATTTATTGAAAAGGATGATAAAATTAGATATTCACATGAAGTATGGTCAGTCTTCAGTGGGCTAATTATGATTTATTTAAATTGAGAATGATATTTATTTTGAAAAATTAAGGTCACTGAAGGAACGTTCTATATTTTTTATTATATTTAACTCTGGAAAGAGTGAAGTACCTAATTTACTTTTTCCACGAGGTGTATCTTTAAAGAAAAAAGGCCAATATGGCAGACTTTCTGGTATTATTTATAATGGTTATTAAAATTTTAGTAATTACTAGATTAAAAATGTATGTACCAATAATGATTTGGTTATTGTGAGCAAATCTCTTCATCAAATTACTTGAAACACCCTAGGTCTATTATCGAGTAACTTCTAAAACCCAGTTTTTAAATAAAACTCTCCTTTACGTGGACATGGTAAATGCTTTGCATTGCTGGGTTAATTCAAATCTATAATATTCATCAGTATTCTTTATTGTAGTATCAATTTTCAGAAGTTCTTTTAGCTTTAAAAAACAAAGTACCAGTTTCAAATTGATGGCGCTGCAACATCAGTCAGATCAATAGAGGAATAGCAACTTTGGTGAAAACCCTTTGAACGTTTAGGCACTGACATTTCAAATTCAAGGGGCCGCGACATTAGCCAGATCGATTAGGGAAAATAAATTTTGGTGAAAATCCTGCTTACGGTTTAGCTTGCGTTGTTCACAGATGTTTGCCGTCAACAAAATTGTTCGGTAACGAGGACCCGCAAAACGTGGATTCTGTGTACAGAACGTGTGAGAGGAAGTAATAGACGAATTATTTCAGCAATATGGATGCGTGAAATCATTTTAAAATCAAAGGCCGTCTAGCTTCGAAATCTTTAGCATCTAATTGCAAGTCAAAGCAGCGCCGCAAAGTTTACAGCGTTTTAGCAGTTTGTGTTTTTTTTACTTGCTCGCCTTCCTAAGTTGTTCGTATCAAGAGCAAATTATGTAATCGTGCGCAGGAAACGGGTTCTTTTCAGCAGGAAAACTCACCACTGCCTGTCCGTGAACTCTTGCAACTCAATTTCCTTGTTTAGGAAGGTTCACAGCATTGGACGGGAGAGGCCTTGGCCTATTGCGGTTTCTGTGAGACTGCTTGTAGTGTTTACGGTGTTCGCAGTGCTTCTCCGCGAAGTGATTTTCCGTCGTATGTGCGGGAATTGGAATCACATTTAGATTGAGGATAAGTGTTGTAGTTGTTTCTGGTGCTGTCCTGTTGCTGCTTGTGAAGTTTGACAGACAAATCAACTAAGTAAGGATCTCTTCCGATTTTGTATATGATCAGGATTTAGTTTCTCACCTATTGCTTACGTCGTATATGGAAACTATTGCAATGCTTTCGGCAAAAAACGGCGAATTTTCATCAGAAAATTTCTCATTGCCGGACACTGATAACAAAATAAATTCCTGTAGGTTGTAATTTACTTCCTCTAACGTTGTGTAATATAATCAGTGGCGTATCCAGGGGGAGAGCATGCCCCCCTTCAAAATGCCTAGAGTTGTCGTATGTTACCTTTATTTAGCAAAATTGATTTAAATATGTGTTAGAATTATGTAATTATTCAAAAAATAATATTGCATAGTATATGTTCACTACAATATATATTATATTGATATAACAAATATTTATTATTTAACAAAAATCTTATGATGGCCCCTTTCAAAATGATCTGTTGGACCTGCCCCTGTTCAGAATCCACGTTTGGCGGGTCCTTGATACCGAAGTATCGATTGACGGCGAAACTCCTCTGTGAACAACGCTAGCCGCTAAACCAAAGGTAGGATTTTCACCAAAATTGATATTCCCCGATCGATCTGTCTGATGTCGCGGCCCTTTGGGTTTCAGGCGGATCGATATTTCGATTCTAGTGGAACAACATGAAACCTCGATGTTTTCCAAACGTGCTCAAATATGTTCAATTTTTTAAATTTATTTCCTCCCTCTGGTAGAGCAAGTGGCGCACAAAGAAATGGCGTAGGGGACATTTTCTTCCTGTATTTCCGAAAACTGCGAATTTTTTTTTGGCGGCTTCCTACAGTTATAATTTATAATAATGAAGATAGATTTTTTCGTAATGAAATCTGCACATCAAATCTTCAAATAAGATCATGTTTAATTGTTTTTGAAAATACGAGCAGTTTTTTTTCGAAACTTTATGTGAAACTTTTTTTTTTTTTTAATTTTTCCCTCGTATGCAGCAAAGAATGTGATGCTGGTCCCATTTTCGGCAAACTCTGTATTTTCGAAAATTGCACATTTGAAATTGCAATCTCATTGTTGGCGGTCATGATGATCGTATGATATAGTTTCCACTTTTATGAAAGGAAATAGATTTAAGAAAGATAATATATTTAACTTAGTACTAACAAATGCGTATCTTTCTCTTTAAGAAGGGTTGATTGCTGATTATTATTGGTATTCAAAAATTGGAAGCTCACTTCAATGTAATCAATCTTGGGTGAAAATATTCTTGCTTTTCTGCAAAATGTGCTTCAAATAATGTTAAGAGATAATTTTTTTCATGTTTGTTTCATTTGTACAAGTATGAAATTAATACTGTTCATATCAAAATAAATTCAGAAATGCACCGCAGGCGTTTCATTTGAATTGGACCTTTTCAAGACACTGTTGAGGTGTTAGTTGTGCAGAAATTGCAAAATTTCAATATTACGCAACTGTTTCCAAACATGCGATAAGAATGTGATGTAGCACATCTAGTGTATCGTTGGGTTAGTGAGGTGAAAAGTATTTTAGTTTTATTGCTCTTGTATTATAGGCCTTCAAAGAATTCGGTGGAAAATTCCTTTCAGATCGCGCTCGAGTAAAGAAATAACGAAATTTAGAACGCATATTCTAGCTCTCAAAATTTTATTTCAAACGTAAAATCATAAAAAATAGACGGTTATGTGGGTGTGACTTTTTCTCTGTCGTCCAAAATTTTGTTTGAACGATTGACTCGTGTTTCCTGGCGCTACAACTTGTACAGTCATGAGTCTCGTAGGTGTGGTGCATGTATCATGAAAGGAAGTGGCGGTAGTTCTTCTTGGATGGCAACATCTGGCCTCGATCTACTTGCCGGCTTGTAGGGTTTTCCGCATCCACTTCTCTCCTACCGCTCCAGCCAGGCAAGCTCTAAGGTCCCGACATGTATAGTAGTGTAGCGCATGTTAGTGTAAGGTTATTAAAAGGGACAAGAAAAAATATCGCGTGCGGTCCGTGACCCTTTTGTTAGAATACTGCTCCGGCATTAGCCTGGTGTTGATCGAAAAAATTACGTAAAACTTCCGGTCAGAGCGACCGGCCTCTAGAATTGTTCTCCAGACAGCCACTGAACTCTACCCAGCTATCTAGCTAGATTCGAAAATCCTGTCACCGTCGGGACTCGAACCATAGGACTTCCCGGGCAGAGGCACTGAAACATCAACTGATGCCCCAAGACACTTAAGGGACAATTTAGTTTGAATTAACCGGGTATGTGATAATTAGAAT